ATAATAATAATAATAAGTAAGATCTTTTGACAGGGAGCCCACGTCACAAAGTGTGGTTTTCAGTGAGGCCCTGCATAAATCTAACGTAAGGATAACAGAAAATATAAATATGGTTATCAAGAAAAGGATAAAAGGGCATAATCAATAGAAGAGACTACATATTTTTAACAAGACGTCTAAAAACTGAAAAATCGGAAATGTTCCTAATGCCGTCTGGGAGAGCGTTCCAGTCATCTACTGCATGACAAACAAACCGATGCTGACCCCATGTACGCTTTGATTGTGGTTTACAAATGTTGTTATTAAAACGAGTGTTATAATCATGCATGTCTTTAAAATGATTAAAATTAAAATTCCAATCAATTAGTCCATTCAAGGACTTAAAAACCAAAAATAGACGATGAGATCTTCGTCTTTTTTCCAATGTATCCCAACCAAGTAGATCAAGAGCTTCTGTTGCTGATGAATGCTTTGGCATATCTAAAATTAATTTAGCTGCTTTATTCTGGAGTAATTGGATCTTGTTCATCAGAGTGGTGTTGGATTTATCCCCCCAAGTCACATCAGCATAATCAAGGATTGGCAGCACCATGGCTTTTACAAAGAGTTCCCTTGTATTTCTTGGCATAAGATGTTTTATTCTCTGTAAAACGCCAAGCCTCTGAGACACTTTGGTCTTAATGTAATCCACGTGATCAGTCCAAGTCAGATTCTCATTGATAATTACGCCCAGATACTTGAACGAATTGACTCTGTCTAACTCCTTCTCCTTGATTGTTAATGTGAATTCTTCTAAGGTGTTAAGTTTCCTTGGACCGCCAATGATTTTATATTCATTCAATTATTTTTTTCTTCTCTCATTCTTATTCTAGTGGACCATCAGTGCACTTTAATGAGATAGGTAAGTTTTAAATGTGCAATCATTTTATTTCTTTTTTAAGGTTTGTATTTATGGTTTGTATTCATGGCTTATGGTCTTCAACAGGAATTGAAAATTTGCACTTCAACACATGAAAATTAGTATGTGCTGTCCTGCCTGCCAAAGGGTTTTGTAGACTTGTCTGAGACTCAGACAGGATACCCTAGATCTCTGAGTTATTATAGAAAGTACTGAGTATGCAAATGTAAAATAAACATCAGGAGATTGGGCTCTCAATGGCATCACCCATGAGTGCAAAAAAAGGCTGGATTTAGCCTTTGGTTTGGGTGCCCACTTACCTAAGATTGCCCCTTGTTGCTTTTTTATTTGTAATTTTCAGTGTGAATTATTTTGCATTGAGGTCCATGAAATTGTCAGTTCGTAAATCTACTATTTCATCCTTACAGCTGGTGCAGAAGGTGCTAAGAAGCTCCTTCAAGAAATAATAATCCTTCCCTATTTAAGGCCTGAGGTATTTTATCATCTACCTTTGTAATTCCTTTATATGTGGAGTAAATAATAAAGTTTAGACTGTGATGTTAAACTGTTCAACAGAAAATTTATGCCTTAAACCAGTTCTGGTCTTCTTTTTGCTTTTTAAAACATTGTGGATTCCTCTTTCATGAATATGCACTCTGAAACATAATTTGAATTACAACATGTTCAATCCTCTAAAGCTTTTCACAGGTCTAAGAGCCCCAGCTCGTGGGCTGTTGTTGTTTGGTCCACCAGGAAATGGAAAAACTATGTTGGTAAGCTTATATCCTCTTTTACCTAAATAATGTAAATTGAAATGCTTTCCTGTCATACAGACGGAGGTACTTCAATAAACTTTTGAAGTCATTAATGAAATATACAGTTTTATATCATTCTCAAAATGAAATGTGATAGCATCAATAAAAAATGCCTAATTTGTTACCCATTCTGCATTAGTATCCTTTTTTTTTTGTCTTTTTTTTCCCTCATGAATTGGTACCTATTAAGGTTTTATATACAAGATTTTTTGGCCACCTTTTAGGTTCAAACATTCTGCATATAGTACTGCAGTAAAGATGAGACTCTTTGTTTTGTCTGTTTGTTTGTTTTCTTTGGTTAGGCAAAAGCTGTCGCAAGTGAATCAAATGCAACATTCTTTAATATAAGTGCTGCTACTCTCACTTCCAAATGGGTAAGATATCAGTTCTAATTTTTCTTCTATTATTGAAATGCTTTTAGATTATACGTCTTCAGATAACTGATCACTGAAGAGTCTAGTCTGTGTGACATAAGGGGGTAACAAATCAGTTTGCAATAAATACTATTCTTATTGTTCACATGGTGTCTAGTTTCTCAACTCTTTACACCGTATGACTAGCATGCATCTTCTCCATACTGTTCTCTTTGCATTTCCAAGGGTGCATACAAAGAGAATTTGTTTAACAATCAAAAGCTTCTTTTGATTAGTTGGTGATCATTTCTTTCATTTTCATGACTTTGATGTGTGATTCAGGAATGATATTGTTGGGAATTAAATGTTAATCACTGTAGAGTTCAAAAGGTTAACCTCATTTCCTTTTTTCCTTGTTTGACAGGTTGGTGAGGGTGAAAAACTAGTGCGAGCTCTGTTTTCAGTTGCTAGAGCACTGCAGCCTAGTATTATATTTATTGGTAAGTGCACTGTGATCTGGGCTGAGTGTTAATTTGTTATCATATCATTTGGTTAATTACAATGTTGAATGGCTCACAATGGTTTCAATTACAGATGAAGTGGATTCTCTGCTATGTGAGAGAAAAGAAGGAGAACAAGAGCACAGCAGAAGAATGAAAACAGAGTTTTTAGTTTCTTTTGATGGAGTACGTAATAGATAATTTGTATTAATTTTGCATTTGTCATGAAAAGTGGCATTTTTAATCTATGAGCATAAATGTACAATGTGAGTGTCCTGTGTAAGGCATCTTCTCAGTTAAGGCGAGTTAAAGCTTAGAAACTCAGGGTCATTTTTTCAAACGGCCATGTTTGAGTTGGAGATGAGGCAAAACGTGGGGAAAAAGGAGGGGGTGGGGAAAGGTGAAATGATAGTAATTATTCACTCCCACACCCCCACCCCTATCCTTTTTTTTGACAGTCACTCACCCCTCTGGTACAGATTTCTTTCTATCCCCAGCCTTCCACTGCCATCAAAATCAAAGATGGCAGCTATAATTTTTGCAAAGAAAATAATGATCACTCACTCATCAAAATTATGTCTGCATGGCAGGCAAGTGTAACAAGAAAGAGAGATTGTGACCTGTTTCATCTTTCTTTCCTCCTTTCCTTTTGCATCCTTTTTTTTTCCCCCTGATTTTCATAGACTTTATTGAAGAGGGAAATACTTGATGATGTCTTAATTATTTTGCTATTGATTGATTTATGCTGACTTTCCAAACATTAGGTGATTGCTGATCCAAATGAACGAATATTAGTGATGGGAGCCACAAACAGACCAAATGAACTTGATGATGCAGCTCTCAGGTACCTGTTGGAGACTCCCACAGAAATTGTCATATTGTGTAAATGGATTGTATAGTTTGTTTTGTAGAGTAGATTTAACATGCAATACTTTTTATTAAATCAGAGGTATGATCTACTTGAAATTTACTGTACGTAGTGAGTGCAAAGCCTATTGTTTTTGTTTTTGTTGTTGTTTTTTTTTTATGATGTGTTTAAGCATGCTATAGGTCTATGTAATACTTCTTCAGCAATTTTTATCTGTTTTTTCGTTCTATGTGGGCCAGCCACGTAGCTCAAGGAAGGTTCACTTCTTTTAACCAGATGTACATTCTTTGTTAATGTGAATTATTATTTTTACCTCTGATCAAATGATTTTCTTTTTTTGCTTCTTCAATTAATCTTTTAACTTTTTTAATATTACACTGTAAAAATGATGAGTAAAAATTATGAGACCATTTTGTTGATATTGTTGTAATTGTAGTTGTTGGTTGTACATGTCTACCAATAAAATTTTATATTTGGAGTGCTGTTCAAATTTAGGTACATTCTAGAAATGTCATATCCTTTTTTTTACTTTTATTCCCTTTTCACTTAGTAGTAATTATTTGTTCTTTATTTTCTTCAGGCGGATGGTAAAACGTGTGTATGTACCCCTTCCAGACAAAGAGGTGCGTGAAAGACAACCGAAAGTTATTGATAATATTTATTTATTATTAACTCCCAGCGGCAGTGGCTGATTGAATTAACATTGCTCAATCTTGTTTGTAATTTTTTTTAGACCAGAAAAGTCCTCTTGTCTAAACTTCTCGTCAAGAATCACAATCCACTGAGTTCTTGGGAGATGGATTCCCTTGCCAGGTACCAATAGCCAGAATGTGTTTTTCATTGAACAACAATTTTAACACGGGGAGAGAAGTCCTGTATTTTACCCGTTTACTTTAAAGGGTGTTGCTCTGTACGGCTGTGATCCAGCTTCATGTAACCTCTAAGCTATTGTTTTTCGCACCTCCATCTATCCTTCCCCTTTTCCAAACATTTTTTTTACTTATGCTTATGGACCACTGATGGCACTGTCTGTCTGTTTCTTTGCCTTGTAGACAAACTGAAGGCTATTCTGGTAGCGACCTGACAGCCCTCCATCTATCCTTCCCCTTTTCCAAACATTTTTTTTACTTATGCTTATGGACCACTGATGGCACTGTCTGTCTGTTTCTTTGCCTTGTAGACAAACTGAAGGCTATTCTGGTAGCGACCTGACAGCCCTCCATCTATCCTTCCCCTTTTCCAAACATTTTTTTTACTTATGCTTATGGACCACTGATGGCACTGTCTGT